CCCAGCCCTAGATCTGAGAATTTTTATTTGAAACCAGCCCAGGCAGAGAAGTCCATAAGAACTCTTATCTCTAGTTAACTAGCAAAAGTCTGGAAGTGGCTCAACTGGTAGAGTGCCAGGAAAAGTTAAGGGTGGGAAGGTGGCTCAGTGGTAGAGTGCTCACCTAGCATGCATGAAACCCTCTCTTCAATTCCTCAGCATCACATACACAGAAAAAGCCAGAAGTGGCGCTACGGTTCAAGTGGTAGAGCACTACTAGCCTTGAACTAGCCTTGAACTACTAGCCAGGGACAGCACCGAGGCCCAGAGTTCAAGTCCCACAACTGACAAAAAAGAAAGAAAGAAAAAGAATGACCTTTATTAATCATGCTTAAGGTGGAGGCAGAACGACGAGCCACTGAGGAAGAAGAAAATAAAGCCAGTGAAGAGTACATACAGAGACTGCTGGCAGAGGAAGAAGAGGAAGAAAAAAGACAGGCAGAAAAAAGACGAAATGAGATGGAAGAGCAACTTAAAAGTGATGAAGAACTGGCAAGAAAGCTAAGCATTAATATAGTAAGTTTTAGGAGCAAACTGAAATAATAACATTTCTATTGCTTTGATTTTCAAAAAACTGAAGAAGTTATCCCTGTAAGTAGAAACCATATGACTATATTTTTTGTTTTGTTTTGTTTTTTGGGTCTGGTCGTGGGGCCTGAACTCTGGGCCTGGGCGCTGTCCCTCAGCTCTTCAGCTCAAGGCTAGCACTCTACCACTTGAGCCACAGAGCCACTTCCGGCCTTTTTTTTTTCTTTTTGCTTATGTGGTGCTGGGGAATCGAACCCAAGGCCTCAGGCATGCAAGGCAAGCGCTCTACCACTGAGCCACCTTCCCAGCTCATGACTATATTTTTACTGTGTGTGAGTGGTATGGTTTTTACTTCACTAAGAGCCTAACATTTGTTAGGCATATGCTCTACCACTTGAGCCATATCTCAGAACAAAAACCAAACTTTAAAAAAAAATCTAAAATCTGTTGTAAGGCTTAAACTCAGGACCTGGGCACTGTCCCTGAGTTCTTTTGCTCAAGACTAGCACCTTACCACTTTGAGCCATAGCTCCACTTTTCCAGTTTTCTGGTTAATTGGAGATAAGAGTCTCACAGACTTTCCTTCCTGGAGTTAGCTTTGAACTGCAATCCTCAGATGTCAGTTTCCTGAGTAGCTGATACTATAGGCGTAAGCCACCAGTGCCAGGCTGAAAAAACACATACCTCAAAATCAAAGGATAATGATACCCACTAGCTTATGAGACCTTGTGGAATCACTTAGGTTTTTTTTCTTTGGTACCAGAACTTGAACTCAGGGCTTCACCTTGGCCCTGCTTGTTTGCTCAAGGCTGTAACCCTCCCTCTTGAGCCAACTAGTTCAAACAACAATCCTCCAAGTCTTAGCCCTCAGAGTAGCTAGAAATCCATGTGAGCCACCAGATCCTGGCTATGTAGAACTCCAGTAAAATGCAAATTCTCATTCTAAATCATTAGAATTGGAATCTCTGAAGATGAGCCTTAGCAACTATAATCTCTGCAATCATCTGAGGATACCTGAAATATTCACATTAGAGTACATCTCAAAATAATTTGTCTACTTTCAAACAGCATATACTTTAGACTATACTTACTAAAATGAAGTATACTGTTCTGGGAATGTGACTTAGTGGTAGAGGCTTTGCCTAGCATTCATGAAGCCCTGGGTTTGATTCCTCAGTGCCACAGAAACAGAAAAAAACAGAAGTGATAGTGCAGCTCAAATGGTAGAGTGCTAACCTTGAGTAAGAAGCTCAGGGACAGTGCCCAGGCCTTGAGTTCAAGCCCCAGGACTGGCAAAAATAAAAAAAAAATATAACTAGCATTGATATTTTTCTGTTTTGAGAATATTACCATTTGGGGCTGGGAAAGTGGCTCAGTGTTAGAGCGCCTGCCTTGCATGGGTTCTATTCCTCAGCACCACATAAGCAGAAAAATCCGGAAGTGGCGCTGTGGCTCAAGTAGTAGAGCGCTAGCCTTGAGCTGAAGAGCTGAGGGACGGCGCCCAGGCCCAGAGTTCAGGCCCCACAACTGGCAAAAAAAAAAAAAAGAGAGAATATTACCATTTATAATTATATACTCAAGCTTTGTAGACTCAATGTCCTTTTCTCACTTTGAGTAGATTGTATTGAGAAACATACAAAATAAAGAAATTGTAGACATGGATCACTGTAAATAGGGAAGAATATAGGTTGAAATGAATTCAAAAGTTACTTGTACCTTGTTTGTCAAATATCTGCTCCTATTTTTTACATGGATTATAAGAATAGTAGATTTACTGAAATTTTATAGTAATTTTTAGTTTAATGTAAAAAAGTTTTTGTGATGGTAAACAATCAGGATTTTTTTTTCCCCCCAGTCCTGGGGCTTGAACTCAGGATCTTTATTTATTTTTATTTTTATTTTTGGGTCCGGTAGTGGGGCCTGAACTCTGGGCCTGGGCGCTGTCCCTGAGCTCTTCATCTCAAGGCTAACGCTCTACCACTTGAGCCACAGCGCCACTTCCCGGCTTTTTTCATTTTTGCTTATGTAGTGCTGAGGAATCGAACCCAGGGCCTCAGACATGCAAGGCAAGCGCTCTACCACTGAGCCATCTTCCCAGCGCCTGAACTCAGGATCTTGACTCTGTCCCTGAGCCTCTTTGTTCTCAAGGCTAGAGCTTTACCACTTGAGCCACAACACCATTTCTAGCTTTTTCTGTTTATGTGGTACCATGGAATTGAACCCAGGGCTAGGCAAAGCCACACATTCTACTACAAAGCCACACTCCCAGCCCACAAACTTATTTCTGTGTAAAACTAACTTTTAGTATAGGTATACCCACAGCTTCTCAAATTTTTCCCCATAAATTAAGCTAGTTCTAATTACATGAAACTTAGGTAATGGGATTACTGTCTTCATGACTTCATACTGCATAGCAGTATGTAATTTCATTAGGTCAAACCTGAATGGTCTTAGTTTTATTTACATAGGCATCCCTTGGTGTCTGCAAATGATTAGTTACAGGAACTTGTATGGATACAAAACTCCAAACAGCTTGGGCAATAGTTGTTCACTCAGAAGGCTGAGATCTATCTATTATTTAGCAAATAATGAGAAATCTATATGTTCAGACTTCTTCAAAGAATATGTAAAACTTATATATATATATATATATATATATATGATTCCTGAAAATCTGAATTTAGTCCAATTCATTTTGTTAGTTCAGTTTGTTAGTTTGTTCAGTTCTCTTTATTAATACCTTTTATGCTTTTCATATTGAAGAACAATTTTGATGAGGCTTCTCCCCTGAATGCCAGAAAATCTGATCCAGTTACAGCCAAGTCACAAAAGAAAAATAAAAACAAACAAAAAAATGCTGGAGATATTCAGAAGTAAGTGAACATGACTGAATTATTTAGTGACCACCTATTATGTGCCTTTTTTTTATGTTCATATAGACCATTGATCATCAGAGTTTGTCCATGTGCTCTATCTGAAACCCTGAAGATAGTCTGAGATTGATTCAAAGTGAAAAATGAAGGGGCTAAGGTTGTAACTCAGTGGTAATGTTTGCTTAGCAATTGCAGAGCCCTGGTAGCAAAGTGAAGAGAAGTAAATTACATATTTAATTCTTGACTGTCATGTGGAGAGAAGGGAAAGCTGGCATGCTTTTTACCTAGCTTCTTATTTTGGCAAGCTTATACTTTTTATCTTGCTTGCTCAGGATTTCCATATTATTCCCCTTTTCACAAAATTAACCAGTTGGATTTCTTTTTCTCTGTTTAAATTTAGTGAAAAGAAAGCTGGTCCCACATAGATATGTTCATTGAAAGAATTTTATTTATTTATTTATTTTTTGTCGGCCATGGGGCTTGAACTCTGGGCTTGGGCGCTGTCCCTCAGCTCTTCAGCTCAAGGCAAGCGCTCTACCACTTGAGCTACAGCGCCACTTCTGGTTTTCTGGTGGTTTATTGGAGATAGGAGTCTCACGGTCTCTCCTGCCGGGCTGGCTTTGAACCGCGATCCTCAGATCTCAGCCTCCTGAGTAGCTAGGATTACAGGCGTGAGCCACCAGCACCCGGCTTCATTGAAAGAATTTTAAAACTTGGCATATAGATTATTTTATATTCCTGCCAGAAATCCAATTTTTCCACATCCTGGTCAACACTTAAATTTATTTCTCTCTTTGCATTAAAGATATTTACCCAAACATCAGTTATCATGTTATAGTAATATATTGAAATCTCTTTTTCCCCTTTTGGTGATAAAAGGGTTTCATCTCAGGGCTTATTTACACTTATTGGGCAGTCACCACTCTACCAATGAACCATACGCAACTGACCTACAATTTTCAGAGGTTTTTAAGTTTTGTCCTGGGGTTAGCCTCAAATGCCTGTGACATAGAGTTGTCATACACTCTGATAAATCACCTAGTCAGCGACACAATCTCTGGCAGAAATACTTCATCTACTTTGATATCAGTTGCATACATTCAGATTTTGATCAACTTCTTTTTTTAAGGTATTTGTCACCTAAGTCTCAATTTCATTCAGCATCACAGCCTGAGATTGTCGAAGAAGATAGGAAAAACTCCGTATCTAAGGTATGTTAATGCTGACACTGTCTTTAGTTAGGCAAGTTTTTAATGGTTGATATTACTGATACCTGTAGTTCGCTGACTTTTAAAGGCACTGTGGTTAATGGAACACCTTTTCTTAGTCATCTTTATTTCATGTAGATTAAGCCTCTATAAATCTTTTCTCTGAAGGACCAGGAAGAGACATTTTAGTCTTTGCAGTCAATGCAGTCTCCGATAGCTGTTCATGCTGTTCAGTATGAAAAGAAATGAGCCTTATTTCTAGCTAGTGGGTTCCTAGCTACTTAGGAGGCTGAGATCTGAGGAACATGGTTCAAAGCCAGCCTGGGCAGGAAAGTCTGAGACTTTGTTTTGTTTTGTTTTGTTTTTGTCGGTCATGGATCTTGAACGCTGGGCCTGGGCACTATTCATGGGGCTTGAACTCTGGGCCTGGGTACTATCCCCTCAGCTCTTCAGCTCAAGGCTAGTGCTCTATCACTTTAGCCATAGTGACACTTCTGGCTTTTTCTGCTTATGTGGTGCTAAGGAATCAAACCCAGGGCCTCATGCATGTGAGGCAAGCATTCTGCCACTGAGCCACCTTCCCAGCCTCATTCTTATCACCAATAAACTACTCTGAAAAAGGCCAGAAGTGATGCTGTGGCTCAAATCAAACTCAAACCAGAACTGAAATACCAGCTTCACTCAGAATTTTCGAAGATGGGAAATAAAACATGTTAGTAGGGTAGCATCAAGAATGTCTTTGTTGGGTTGGGAAGGTGGCTCAGTGGTAGAGCGCTTGTCTTGCATGCATGAGGCCCTGGGTTTGATTCCTTAGCACCACATAAACAAAAAGAAAAAAGCCGGAAGTGGCGCTGTGGCTCAAGTGGTAGAGCACTAGCCTTGAGCTGAAGAGCTGAGGGACAGCGCCCAGGCCAAGAGTTCAGGCCCCATGACCCCAAAAAAAGAATCTTTGTTCATCAGGAGTCCTCATAGCTAAGAACCTACTTAATAGCCTAGAAACAAAATCAAACAAGTGTGCTACCATTCAAGTCCCATACTTCATAAAAATCAGTTCTGTCAGGTGTGATAATGTCAGCACTCAGGAGGGGCGAGGCAGGAGGATCCAAGTTTGAGGCCAATCTCAGGTATAAGATCCTGTCTCAAAGGAAAAAGAAGTCAGCTATATCTACTAATAACTTATGTCTAGGAGTCCTAACAAGAATCATACTTACTCAGAAGAAGTACAAGTCATACTAAGCTTTGGCTTCCTAGTAAATATTTATAGAGCATTCATATTTCTGCCATGAATGCAGTTCACTGGTCAGGAGTCTTTTTCACCATATGAGTGATATTTTACATTATTATGTTGTCAGGAGAATAGAACTGGGAAAAGGGAATTCATGCCAAGGTCAGTTTCCTACCTAGAAATTTTGTTAACTCATTCCTTATATTCCTAACTTTTTCATTTCAGCTAAGTGTTTTATACTAACATTTAATAGACATTTACTACTTGCCAATAATAAATGTATC